ATTTTCCTCTGGCTGGCTGGAATTCCATTTCTTTCTTGGGCTATAAAAGACTGCACAGGCTAATCATGTTTCTGTGTATTTTTATCATCCTTCCCTTGACACCAGGATTCATTCCTGGCCCCAGATTTTCTAGAAATTGTGTCATACTGCATGTCGCCAGATGCTCATCTCCACGGTCTCCTGCGCTACATCGAGTCCTTCTCAGGTAAAGACAACAACGCATCAGCCACAAAGATCTCCCCGTGTGACACTGCAACTTCAGTGATGACAGCTGTTTTCAAGCCCTGTCTTTAATAGCTCACATTTGATACACAGCTGAGACAAACAGGATGTTATTTTCTGCTTGACGATAGTCTCTGGAGAGGCAGTATTGTGCAGCAGTTATGCTCTGGATGAGATCCTGTTTTCTGCTTTTCCAATCCCAGTTTGCTGATGTCTCATCAGAGGCTTTAGCTGCAGCAGGGCTGGGGTTTTGGTTCTACCACAACCTCACGGGTGAGCCTGCTGAAAGAACATTGTTAGCCCGGGGAGCTTGGTTTTCCCTCCCCAGGTGCTTTACCATTTCAGACAATCCCTGTTGGTTAGTCTGAGCTGAAATAGTTTCAGTCTAGATTTCAGTCTTTTAAAGAGATCTGGGTTTTAAGCTTCCTTGGAGGCATCTGTGAAGCTCTCTCCCTACCAGAAATGGTGACAAAATGTAGAGGGGGAGCTGCAAAGTTGCCTCCTTTTCTCGAGACAAAAAGAAAGACACAAATGTTGTGTATGTGCAGGGCTCCTGGATTTGTCCAAGGCATGATTTCCAGACACAGCCTTTTCATTCTGTCTTTATCTCAGCTTCTGTATCCTTGATACTGAGCTCCGCTTACACAGATCTTGAGGGCTCTACCCTGAAAGGCAGCTCAGAAGGCCTGGTCTTCCCAGAATGTTGGCACTGGATGAGTGAATCCCGCATCTCCTAAATGACCTCGAGTCTCATTCTTCCAGGAGGCTGTATTCAGTCTGCCTGCGATAAGCTGTTGATAACACCGCCCTCCCTCTAGACTCTCTCAAAACATTTCCTTGGCACCTACAGCAGGCATTTAAATCAGTGCCCAATCTCCCAACTAGATGGGGAAGCCTGGAAACGAGGGGCCAACGTGAAAAACAACAAATACGTCCCAGAGCCGATCCCAGGGAATGGTTCCAGCCCTTTGAGCAGCCTGAGCACAAAGTGAAGCACATCCTGCATTCTCACTGACACCAGCACAGTATAGCGAGATAGCGTGACAGCCAAGAACACTCTCGCCTGTTATTTTCCCCAGCAAACGGTGTCTCCCTTCTCTTGACAGATAAGAGGATCTATCGACTCCCAGTGTTCACAGAGGAGTTTTGCCAAGCCTTTGTGGATGAGCTGGAGAAATTTGAGCAGTCGGATATGCCTAAAGGCAGGCCCAACACTATGAATAACTATGGGGTAGGACTCACTACCTCTTGTGCTTCTTTAGGGGGAGTGTTAACAAGCAGACTCTGTTTACCTCCTTGCTTCATACTCCTTTTCCTTCCCAAATGTCTGTAATTTGAGCACAGTGCAGTCTGAATACAGCCCCCTTGAAGTGAAATGGTTGAGGCAGTGTGTGTTACACAGACAAAACGACAGGGGAATGCAGGGAAAGGAGATGGGAGTTGGTCTCTCAGAGCAAAGAGCACCTTGTATTTAAGCAATACACATTTAAATCAAGGAGTCAATTTTTAAAGAACACTCAACTTTTGATCTTACTCTGTCTTTTCCCCATCACTTTCCACTTTGGTGCTCCTTCTTTTGCCTGTAGCTGGAGCCTTTGCTCTAAAGTTCTTTGAGCAAGCAGTGGGGTTGGAATAGAACAAGACAGCTCTGTAGCAGCTCTTGATGAAGCAGCAGATGTAGTTGATCAGCTGTTCCCATCTCCTCTCTTTGAGACAGGTTTTGCTAAATGAGCTTGGGATGGATGAAACTTTCATCACACCCCTGCGTGAAAAATACCTGCAGCCCATAACGGCACTGCTTTATCCTGATTTGGGAGGTGCTTGCCTGGACAGCCATAAAGCATTTGTGGTCAAGTACTCGCTCCACGAAGATCTGGATTTGAGCTCTCACTATGACAATGCAGAAGTCACCTTAAATGTTTCACTGGGAAAGGACTTCACAGAAGGCAACTTGTACTTTGGGGATTTCAGCCAGGTACTGAGCATATTCCTAATCTGGGCCGTGATTCTCTTCCCCACTAGCCCCTCACCCCCCAGTTTCAAGGCATTAACTGTGTTCTAAAAAACAATTATTCACTTCTGACAGTCAAACCTGCTCTGTCTCTTCCCCCCTTTTTAAAATGTCTTGGTTATACAGGAGTCTTTTCTGCTACAAGCATGTTACCAATATTCAAGCCAACTGCAGCTAATTCAAAGCGAGAACAGAGACAGCTATCGTAGTAGAAACTGGAGTGAAACAAACCAGCCCATCTTTCCCCAACTGCAATAAGGAGCAGGGAGGTGCTGAGAGGGGGGGAGGGTGGGAGGGAGAGAGAGAGGTAATTTATTTCAGATGGGACTTAAAACTAAATCTGTAGCCCCTATTTCCAGGGGACAGGAGGGGTAAAAGCTCCATACACTGGTGAAACAGTTTTTTTGATTGAAACTCTGTCTTTAAATTCCCTCTGCACCTGGCACTGGGAATGTCTTACTGGAAAACCATTGTACTAAACTGCTGCCAGGCTACCACTGAAGTGGCTGCATTTCAGAGGTGCAATGAGTTCTCTCCATGTTGTTCACTGGGTGCTGTGGGTGAAGAGGTGACAAGTAAAACTTTCAACTGTTTGAGCATTGTTCTGCTAGGGACTTTGGTAGAATGCTGTATCCGCCTCCCTTTGTTCCAGGAACCTACCCCCGTGCCAAAGTACATAGAGATCGAACATGTGGTTGCCCAGGGGCTGTTACACCGAGGAGGGCAGATCCACGGGGCACTTCCCATTGCCTCTGGGGAACGCTGGAACCTCATTATTTGGATGAGATCATCTGCCATCCGCAACCAGCTCTGCCCAATGTGCAACAAGAAACCTGAGCTGGTGGAAGCAGAGGGGTTTGGAGATGGGTTCACAGAAACCCTTGACGACGATGTGCCCGAGACTGTGAATCTCTGTTCCTTGTGGTAGCAGACAGTAGAGCCTGATTTCTCCAGACCAAGTTGCCTAAAGCTCCTTTCTGACCTCTCAGACTGCACTAACAGACTCTTTGATGGATGCACGAGTCACGTAAGAAGTAGCTAACATCTTGGAAAGTGATGTAAAACCAGTCCTGTGGGAGTTAGGGAAGCCAGCTGCTTGGACAGCTGGAGGAGTTGGTACTCAGCTTGCCAGGGCTCACACTCAGGCTGGAGAGCAGGAGGACTGCTTGGAAGCCGTAGAAAGCCTTAACATTTTGATACACTGCAAAGGCTCTGTAAATATTTTCAGGTGTACGGGGAAAACACCCAAAGCTGCTCGGCCGTTGTGAAGACCTTTGTGCCAACAGCAGCATCACAGGTCCTGCTGTAAACGGACAAGAATGGTACAGTAAAGCCCTGCACTTATCACTGCTCTGCTATTCACAGGGACTCCTGTCCTCTTCCAGGGGAAGAGCTTTTTGTTGCTGGGCGACCGTGAAGGATCTGCTCAAAAGTGAGATACAGGTGATTCACCATAGGCTGCTGGGAATGACATGGAATTATCATCACCAGAGGTTTACCTACCCCAGGCTCTGAAAAATCCATCAGGAGCAGTACAGGGAGAGCTGGTCCCACAGGGTAAGCTGAGAGGATCTCTCAAGGCCTCCATGAGCTCTCCTGAGCAGAAAGTTCCCTTTCAAAGATTCTGTGAACCTTATTAAGCAAACAGAAACGGGCTTTAGCGACAAAGCACCGAGAGCCACCTGCAACGTAGCAAAACTTTCCAGAGGAAGGCAAGAGCGTAGCTTTTAACTCCCTTCCTTTAGTTACATGAACAAGTGAAAATATAAAATAACCATCTCAACCTAGGTGCAGCAGGCAGGCCTGGGGCTTCTTAATTTGTTGCCAAGATCCCCTGGCAGCTGGCGTGTTAGGAGGGTTGAGTGCTTTCCCTGTCGTACTGCCGGCTGGCTGAAACCACGAACTCTCCCATCTACAAAACCAATTAAAGAAGCCAGATATCTTTTGATTTGGTGGCTGTGTTTGGCTCTGTGGAAGATTAATTGTATGTATTTGAATCACACATAGGTAACTGCATTTATAAGGGGCTTTTTGATTCATTTGTTGAACTGCAATAATTACAGCGTGTGGACTTTGCATAATTGTGAAAGGCTGAAGGTGAGCCAGTATGGCTCGCACAAAGGGTGCTGATTTAAGCCTTCCCAGCAGATCAGCTGTATTTTTGGCCGGGGATGCCATTAGCATACAGCGCCAATTAGCTTTTCATTAGCAAAACCCATTAAAATTGCATCTCGGGAAGGAAACGGGCTGTCGTATTTGTGCGCGGAGCCAAAGGGCTGGTCTCAAGAAACTCAGTCGTGAAGGCTTCATTTCCTTCACCAGGAAACGTTAGCGCTTCCTAACTGCGCCCGAATTAGGGCCCAAAAGTTAAACTAAAGGGCGAGACTGGGGCGGGGCCGCCCCCGGGGCGGGGCGGGGC